ATCCGGAACCTGGGCCTCATTCGATATTTCAGCAGTACAACCGTGGGCCTTTTTTACATAAAAATGAATCTGGCACTGTGAATCTGGCACTGTTATGCACCAGATTCATGATCCGGTAGGGCCCTTGGAGCGATGGTTCCCCACATGGAGGTCATTGGGCCGGTAGTACCGACGGCCGAGTTTCGGGCGCCCAAAACTGAAACGGTTTTGGTGGGGGTCACATGGGCTCTGCAGAGACAGGTTCATATCGAAAGCGTCATCAGACGTCATCTAACTTAAAAGGAGAAAGCCTACGCCACGCTGCTTGTGGGATATTTGAGTTTTCTTGTATCCTGTACCTGGCGCTGTTTGTGGGATAGGTAGTACTTGATTTTACTACCAGCACGATTCAATTGGGTTCTATCCACATACAGATACATTTTATTTGGTTGAGTGTAGTCCTTTTAGGAGAGTCTTAATCGTTGGATTCATAATCCAAATGCTGTTGCATGTATAGAACCGTAGATGCCGGCTAGTTCACAGTCTCCTCTAGTTCCTAGCTTTGGCACGCACATGTGTTTCATGTGTAGTCTTCATGTCTAGACCTCACGATCACCTCTGCTACATGTTTAGTTTTGATGCGTCCACCTGTTCTCCTGAATTTAGGTATGTTTCCCAGTGGTTGGCACTTGGTGGAATTATATTTGACACTCCTACCCTCACCATCAAGCCTGACTCCGCACAGTGTATCTGGCAGCAAACAAGGACGGATGCATAATTTCCTATTGTAGTACTTTGTTGAGGCTTTCGCACGGCGCTGTCTGAGAATGGGTAGCTGATTTCGGCCGAGAGAGCTTTAGCAATGCGCAAGGAGAGATCCTGGGTTCTGTAAACTCACTCTGTCACAGCAGTGTGCTAGGTAGATTCTGGGCTTGTCAGTGTTGTCACATGATATGTCCTGAGATCTTTGGACAGCGATCAGGCGCACTGCTTATCATTTCAATCTTGGTATAATTACATGTTTCGTGTTTATATTTCCTTAGACTGTGGTTGGATTCCCATAGCTTGTAGAAGCTCACGTTGCCTGTTGGAATATAATAGTCCCCTTGTGGAAGCTCCATGCTGGTCTTTACAGGTTTATCCATCCATGGTGACAGATTGTCATTTGTCTGGCCATCTTTTGTAATTCAGATGGCTCTCAAACCAAGACTGGGACCCCAGGGTAATCAATGCCGGCAGGAACTCCTCAGGAACTCCTGACTACTATGTTCCAGATAATTTCAAATTTTCAGTCAGTGTAAGGGACGCTGGACCCATTTTCCAACAGGTGCTGCTCCCCACCAATAGACGGAGCCTATGAAAAAAAAAAAAAAAAAAAAAAAAGACTGGGATGGTACTATATGGTAGTAAGTAGCTCACGCTGTTGTTGTCGTTTGAAGTTTGATGCTCGTCCCCACATCCTTGGGCACTGTGAGATCAAGTGCAAATCCGACCCTTAATCTGTAGCTATGTACTCGGGCCTGCAGCTCAACGGCTTCAGCATGTGTTTTAGCACACGCCTCAATAGGTTGTGAGGAAGGGAAGAATTAGTAGGAAGTAGTCTGCTGTGAGCTGGATTTCAGGCTTCCTTTGTGTACGGGGAACCTGGTCTCGACGTATTTCAGGCCAGATTAGTGCAGGTTGTTAAGAGTGTGAATGCTTGGTAGTCTAGTAGACGCCTTTGTTGATCCTAGGGTGCAGAGCAGCACTTGTCGCTGTTGCCAAAGTTGGGAAGGGAGGAACTATTTGTTGGGGAAACTCTTGGAACTACTAGCAGCGGTGCCACCTGGAGCAGTGAGAGAGCAACGAGGGGCGGTGGGAACGCTACTGGTCAGGTGGTAAGTGAGAACTGGTGAAGAGCAAACTTGAGTTGTTCCCATTGTGATCAATATGCTGTGAAGATCCAAGGGAGCGTGGTGGGAAACCCGTCATGGCAGCTCGGGCTCTTTACAGTGTTTTTGGGAAGCCATAAGGGGAGAGTAGCCCTGATGAAGAAGAGGGGCTTTTTGTTGGTGAGATGATCAAGCTGGTGCATGACTTTGTCTCGGTTCCTAGGTCTCAAACAGTAGATTTGGTCGTGTGGATCAGATATCAATCTTGGTGTTTTGCTTTTCTGTGTGCTGAGAGCACTTTCGAAAAACACATTCTTTGGAATCTACTCACGATAACCCGATAAGGTAGTGTCACTACGGAGGCAGTGTGAGTGCTACGGTCAGTGGTGGGAAGGCTTCTCACTTCAAGTCACTTGTAGTTAGCATAAATAGGGCAAGAAGCAAACTTGAACTGTATCCATGGTGATCTTGGTCTGTTGAATGATATTGTCACTGAAGATCCAAGGGTGCCTGGTGGGAAACCCGTCTAGGCGGTTCAGGCTTCCTTGAGTTTACAGATCAGTACTTGGTCTCTTTTCCATAAGATCTTGAAGCTCTTTTCCATAAGATCTTGAAGCAAAGCTGGGTAAGGCTCCCAGACAGATCAGCAGGAGACCCGGAATATGAATTCTTCAGTAGATTTTGGCTGTTTTGCTCCCTTTATTTAGGTTTCCTAAAGTTTTCGTTCAGTTGCTCACCAGTACCTTTGACGGTTCGAAAATACTCGGCCTCCGACCTTTCAGGAGGCCGAAACGAAACGACGGCCGCCGATCAGATTTATCAACGGCAGGCCTCCTAAAAGTTCGGGTACTGGCCAGTACCACGTCGAAAATGGGCAGTTGCTCACCAGTACCTTTGACGGTTCGAAAATACTCGGCCTCCGACCTTTCAGGAGGCCGAAACGAAACGACGGCCGCCGATCAGATTTATCAACGGCAGCCGTTGTCGGGCCCGGCCTCCTAAAAGTTCGGGTACTGGCCAGTACCACGTCGAAAATAGGCTCGGAGGTACTGGTGGTTTAAAAAAAAAAAAAAAAAAAAAAAAAAAAAACAGGTGACCCTAACATTATAATAATTACCATTAGCATTCTGACACCTGGGGCGCGTTAGCTCGGATGAATTCACAAACGACCACTTCAAGTGGCGTCGGAGTTGCGCATGTAAGCAGACATAGGGCCTTGCTGCACTACTCTTGAAAGGTGCAAAACGAGAGTGACTCTTCCGCTAGAACATGGAAAGATACAGCAACATGATTTTTGTCTTTTGTGCATTTCAAGAGTAGTGCAGCGAGGCCCATACACTAGGGGGCTCGCAGGACGGGCCAAAAAATGAAATGAAACTATTGCAGAGCTTGCGAGGCCTCGCGTTGGCTTGTGTCCCTGTTTCGTTTCGTTTTTTGGCCAGCCGCCGCATAGCACACGAAAGCTCCCTGACATGACGAGAATCGTGTGGGGTTCGTGCGCACTATGCAGCGGCGGTGGCTGGACTGCTCAATGGGCCTCGCTCCACTACTCTCGAAATGTGCAAAACGAGAGTGAACCTTACAGTAGAACATGGAAAGATACACCGCCATGATTTTTGTCTTTTGTGGATCTCCAGTGTGGAGCGAGGCCCCATGCCATGGGCCCAAGCAACCGTGAGGAATCGCGTGGTTGGATACACGTCATGGGCCCAAGCAACCGTGAGGAAATGCGTGGTTTGATACACGCTCGCAAGGGCTGACACGCGCTACGTTCCAAAATTTTGGAAGTTTCCCCTTTGGACCGACGTGGGGGATTCGCGAGATTTAACACCTCCTCCACCATTCCAGTGGAGGACCTACGACTTCACGTGTTTTGCAGGCAGGCAACGAATGCACACGGCCTCACAAACCCTGCTTCTGACAGAATTCGTGAGTTTTCACTGACAGAAGTCGTGCCAGCACTGTGTGGCGACGCAGAAACGAAAAGTAGTTTTTTTCCTCTTTTCGTTTGCCGTCCGGCGAGGCCCTAGGTAACTTCCTTTTTTCAACATTTCTAAACGCAGCCAGCACCGCCTATTTCCCCCATCGGCAATGCCTGCACACCCGTCGTCACCGTGATGAGGGACTGGTACAGCCTTGGGGCCTCGCCACACCACTCTCTAATCTCGAAAATATTCGAGAGCTGTCAGGATTTTTCGAGAGGCCGGTTTTTGAGAGAAAATGGCCCTTTGCCACATAGCACACTAGACCGGCCTCTCGAAATGGATGAACGCGAGCGCGGATGGGCGGCATCACGAAAAACAGCCTGACAACTCTCGAAATGGACGTCGAACTCCAGCGCAGAGGGGCGGTATCACGAAAACTCCAAAGCCGCAGGCTGGGTGAAAACATCGTTTCGAGAGGGCACTCGAAAACGCCTTTCCGACAGCTCTCGAACAGCTTCGAGTTATTTTTTAGAGCTATGCTGTGTGGCGCGTGAATTTTCGAGATTCGAGAGTGGTGTGGCCAGGCCCTTGCTCTCGCACAGGTTGGTTGGTGTTCCAACCTACTATAAATAGACTAGTGAGAGGATGAGATAGATGCGTACTACCAAGAAAAAAGACAAAGAATATGAGATAGATAAGCGAAGAATATAGCTTACTTAAAAAAAAATAAAAATAAAAACGCAGTCACGTGCGGATCAAGATAAAACGCGCATTGGAAAGTGTGCGATTTTCAACACCAAAAAAAACGCATCTCAAGGAAAACGGGGAAAGAAAACGAAACAGGGCATCTCCAGCCCTTGTACGACAGACGACTGAGATGCATCCAGGGCACGTCCCTCGCGGGAAAAAAAAAAAAAAAAAAAAGAAAAACACCCAGCGCGTCAGCGAGATATATAACACAGACTCCCGAGATATATAACACAAACACAACGGGTGTTCGTCTGCATCCGTGTGCCGCATTATGGATGTTCCTATGCCCGTATGTCTCTAGTTCACTAACCCCCACTAGTTTTCTCCTTCACGACACACGTCAGGATTGCTTGTAACTCTTTTTTTTTTTTTTTTTCTTGTGCTCCTATCACCTCCCCACAGTAAGCTGAAGCTGGGTCTTCACAAAAAAAAAGGAAAAAAGGACTGCTTGTACATCAAGTTATAAACAAGTGTCTCACGGCTATGGCCGCCAACAAGCACTCCTCCCTCTCCGCCGGATTCGACACGCGCACACACACACACACACAGGCGTCTCTCTCTCTCTCTCTCTCTCTCTCTCTCTCTCTCTCTCTCTCTCTCTCTCTCTCTCTCTCTCTCTCTCTCACATAATCCATCCATACAAACGCATTTGAAGGACCATCACCAGTCACTCACTACCTTACACTCTATCTGTCCTTCCAAGGCGGTGTCGCACTTGCGGACAGCTACACACGAGAGAGGCAGAAGGAGAGGGCGGGAGGAAGAGCGGCGGCGATTCATAACCCCGGAAACACGCGACAACAGTATGACGAAGGGCGAGTAACGTAACTTCTACTCCAATCGCAGGCATCGGAACTGATCGGCCTCCCATCAAGCCGAAGGGCAACTACTACAAGGCACCTCCGCAGCCCCAGAGTCGACATTCACGCCAGTCGAGGGGACCTTCTCGCAGAATTGATGCCCGCACAAACACTCGACAACGGTACGAGGAAGTGTGAGCAAGGTTACCTCAGAGTCTACTTCAAGCGCTGATATGATCGGAACTGATCAGTCTTCTGATCAAGCTGACGGGCAGTCTTTGCAATTCACCTGCAGGTCTCCAGCGTCGCCATTCATGCCAGTCGAGGGGACCTTCCCACAGAATTCCACTAACCCATTGATGTACACGTGTTCGATTCTCGTTGTCCCTCCCGCAACCTTGATGGTGTTCCTTTCAAACTGACAGTGGCAGAATTGCCCATAGGAGCCCCCAACAGTCACTGCCCCTCCACGTCCTCCCACTTCCGTCACGGTATTGCCGATAAACCGACAGCGCGAAAATCTTATGCCTCCGGCCGATCCTACTGCCACAGCCGCTGCCTGTGTCTTCGCAGTGTTGTTCTCGAACACACATCTCCGACATATCAGCCCTGTCCTAATTAATCCAACAGCTGTACCGCCTGTATTAGCCTGAAAGAGAACGTCGTTCGCCTCCATCGTGCTGTATGCCACTTCGATTACGCCGCCTTCGTTTCTGACGAAGCTCGAGCCCTCGACCTTCAGTCCGTCGCCACCGGTCACATCGATAACACCTCCGCTGTTCTTCGTGAAGAGACAGTTGCGGATGGTTATTGCGCCGCTGACGCTGCGGACGAATGTGTTGTCCTTCCCGCTCTTGGAGGCAAAGCCGGTAACCTCAAGGTTACTCAGGGTTAGATTTACGCTCATTGCGAGGAAGCCGGGAAATCGCTCACTACCGTCGATCTTGCATCTGCGAGATCGTCCCCTCACCGTCCTGCAGTTGCCCGTGACAGTTAGACTAGGGCACGTCACTGCAGGCAAATCAGCAGTCAAGCGCAGGTCAGATGTCAGTCGTAAGACCGTCGTGCCGCGCTTAGTCACAGCAGCTCGCAGACGAGCTTCTGGTGTGGTCGGTGCCGCCGCCGCCATAGCCAGGGCCATGGGGTACGAGGAACGAAAGCAAGCCTATGAGCAGAAGAACCGACGGAAGCCGCTGTTGCCTCATGATGGAAAGCTGGAACGAGCAACGCGTTCAAGATGGCCCGGCGGGAGGGAGCAAACAAGGCCTGCTAACTCAGACCACGCTCGAAGAGACAGACTGCCAGGGGGCAGAACGAAAACTGCTAATTCAGACCGCGGTCGACAATAAGTAGGTAGGAAGGAGAAGATCACGACGGGGCAAGGAGAATGTAGGAGAGGAGACGAGTGGTGGCGATGAAGACGCTGAAAACAGGACAGCTTCGAGGCGATCAGGAAGACATCACAAGAGGGGGGGGCAAGAACAAGCGATATACACCAGACACCACGATACGTTAGCAGTAGACAGCCAGTTTTTTTGTTCCCCGTTTTCTCGTTTCTTAGGACCTCGCTCTACTACTCTCTTCATGGGCAAAACGAGAGTGCATAAGGGTCTCGCTCCACCACTGTCCGCTATACAGAATTTCGGAGAGTTTGTGTATAGCTGTCAGAGTACCAAAAAACGGAGATTTCGTGTATAGTCTGCACCGTCGCTCCACTTAGGGCCTCGCCACACAAGTGAGGAAAGATCACGAAATTTGACATATGTCGGGAGATTTTCGACATTCCCTCTTTCGACAGAAAGCCCCTCTTCGCCACACAGCATGCAGAAGTGAAGAACTCACAAGTCCTGTGCACAAAAGAGACAAACTGGGGTGAAGATAGGACAAGCGTTGGTGCCTTCTCTTTTTCAACATTCGGGGAAGAATTCGACATCCCATCCGAGGACTGTTGAAAATGTGCAAGTTGCAGGCTGGGAAACGAGCCCGTCTCGCTCATGATTTTCTAAATTCCCATCGCAGTTAATTCTTAGCCAAAGCTGGGCAGTGGTTCTGGCGCCTTACATGTCTTGTAAAAAGCCATATGGGATGCTGGACCCGGTTTTCCAGCACCCGAAAAAAAAAAAAAAGGAGACAAATGCGCCTGTGACCGCTGCACAGTTTCGAATTCGCAGGAATAACAGTCCACTGCAAGCTTGGGCCAAGACCAGTTCGAAACTGCAAGAAAAACAGTAAACTGACAGTGTGCGTTCGACGGGCTACCCGATCTATAATTGGCAAAAACGGGAGGGGGTTGTGTTTTTTTTTCTTTTTTTCGTTTTCTTTTTTTCCATTATTTTTTTCGCACCTGCCATGACCGAGCTGGCTAGGCCAAGTCTCTCCAAGGAAGCTACCGTCTTCCCCCGAACACAACGCACCCTCATCTTGCCTGTACCGGACCGGAAATATAGCTTGTATATGTTCAATTTCAGGGTGCGTTATGTTYGGGGGAAGACGGTATTGTCCCAGGCGGCATTTTCAGCTGGTGTGGGAGTGGTCCGATTTCAGTTGTAGCGACTGACATGTTTTTTTTTCGCTTTTTTCTTGTTGTTGAAGTTCGTTTTTTTTTTTGTGACGCTCATTTGTATCATGCCAGTCACCTAAGGGGCTCGTTCGACACTCCTTGGGGCGTCCTCGGGGTCCAAGGAAGTTTCCTTGGGGGGTTTCAAGGAAATTCCCGCCATTGTGACCAACCACTTTCTGTAACGCGCGAGTTTCTGCGCGGTTGCAACGAGGAGTCCTAAGCTGGGAAGATTGGACCAATTACGGGAAACCGGGATCGGTGGAAAATTGCATCAGTACCCTTGCTTCTTCGTCTTTTTCRTCGCTTCTTCGGGGCTGGGTGTGTCTTGGGACGGCCRGCTGGGCGAGTGGTCGGATGGATGTCTGGCGCGCCACCACGCGCGCGATTAATAAATGTTGATGTCGTTTCTCTCGTTTCGGGTTCGATCTTTTGGGTGCGGACATCGCGCGGGAAATTGTTTCGTTCTTTTTGAATTTCCTTTTTGAATCTTTTTCAAATTTTGTCAAGCCCCGATGGCTCTCGGGATTTTGGACTTTCTTTCTGGAATGTATGCTTTTTTAGATAGGAATTTAGGAATTCAGTAATTAGGACTTTTTCTGCCGCACTGCGCCTTTTGTCTACGCGCTTTTTCATGCGGCTGCAACGGTACTCTGATTAGTGGGCGCCCTTAATCATGTGTGTGACTGCAATTTTGGGCGGGTGCCATTGTAGCTGTATCTTTCCTCTTGCACTTCGTCTCTCCCGCTCTCCCTCTCTTTCTTTTGCTGAAATTTCTATAAGCCGCGACTTGCATGCTCGGATCGATGCGTGGAGAAGGGTTACGTCCCCCACCCCGCGGCCGATCATGCAGAACGCCGGCCCTCCCTCTCTAATCCCCGCTCTAAGTTCTGGTAATTCCGTGTCCTTCGCGCATGCATGCACGCTATAAATTCCGGCTGCGCGACTAGTTAGCTCTCTTAACCTGTTGTTGGAAGCTCGGGGTTGCGCAATCAGGAAGGGTCGGCACACGAGCGAAGTAAGAGGTGAGTAGAGTAGGAGTTGGGCGACCCGACGGGCTGGTGCCGAACGCGGGGGATTGACGTGGGCCACGACGGACTGTGGGCACGGGCGAATCCGACGGGTGCGGGAGGACTAAGCGGGGTGACAACTTCGTGGGTGGGTGCGTGACGACGGACTGTCCGCATCAGAGAGAGAGAGAGAAGGAGAGAGAGTTGAGGTCGATGGACATGGATTTGCTGTTTCTTTGTATCTTCCCCCTCTTCGTCTATGTACATACATTTTGATTACGGCTCCGGGCGGTTTGCCCGTTCTTACTTTCGTTTCGGCTTTCTGAGATTTGGGCTTGGGTTTTTGCTCACATTTGTCTTTGCTATGTCCGTCCCAATTGCATTATACCTATGCTTACCGAATGTATGGTCGTATGAATGTTTAGATGTGTGGACGTTATGCCTGTCTATACCTCTTTTTGTTGAGGATCCCTGTCCTTGCTTCTTGGTCGTCCTTGCCCACACTTGATGCAGTTGCAGATGAGATATGAATATGGCCCCGATGGCGATTTTGTCCTCGTTTTTGCTTATCTCACGATGAGGGGTGTGATATGGTTGCATCTTGCATAATCCGAAGCAATTAAACCGCAAACGCCATGCGAGAACCCGTGTAAACGCAATCCGAGTCGCGCCCTTACACGCATTCCTGTGCAACGACTCGCTCCCCCCTACCCCCCCCCGAAAGGAGTCACAACGGAGCCATTATCCCGTACGAGCACGCCGAGGCGCCACTAAGTCGGCCTGTCCTACACATGCTTGTACGCGGCGAAAATAACCCGACCCGCGCTATCCCGCCAACGATGATACCATGACGCGATCTTGGAGCTCGGACTCGTCCTACGACCCGGACTATTTCACCCCTATAATAAACGAGCTCATAAGGACATGATATCCCTGTCACACGGAGAATCGGTTATGTCCACGGGAATTCCACTGTKCCACCACTAGCGACCCTCGGTGTTCCGATTTCCCTTCCCCCGACCACACATACTACTTCACCCACTCGGGATTCGTTGAGATCACCACCAGTTTCCCTCCTTTCCGCCTCCTTCTCCCATATCATCAACTCAGTGTCGTCCCGTGGCCCGCCATAGCCCGCTACTGGCCCAATACGTTTTGCGTGAACTGCCGACGTAGCGGTGGACAGAGAACTCCGGAACTCTGAAGGCCCAACCCTGGCGCGCGGCGACCTGCGCCACTTGGCGTCCCCCGACGGTCGAACTTTTCAGGACCACCCCAACCACGGAGGGATTTCTCCGTAACCCATCACCCACAATGCCCCGGCCCCACCAGACCGTGAGTCCCTGGCACACGCACCCCTGACTCGCCTAATTGCATTCATACCCTTAAGACTCCCCCACTTTCCCCAAAAATCCTTGGGCAACCCCTTTTCGCACTTCCAGGCCCACATCCCACTCCGAACAGGAAGTCGCGTTGGGCGTGAGGTTGGTATCGGAGCCCAACACGTGGCTAGGGTCTTAGGATTGATAGCACGTTAATTAGGCGACCTGGCTAACCGTGCGCGGCCTCGCCCTCGGAACGCGTATAGACGCGACCCTATCGTCACCAGAAGCAGAGCAGCTAACCGACGAACAACCAATATGGCTGCCAACGTGCGARTTCCRGCTCCGCAAYAAAATGTTTATCTACCTAATCAACCTGCCCCACGTGCACGAGCTCCCATGTCGCCACCAGATCTCTATCTATTCGATCCGGCGCACCATCTCGCAGGAGCATGGCTGGCCACGCTTAGAGCACAGCAGTAGGATGATCACGAAGCACAGATCAACATTCCGGCTCGAATGGGAGGAGACACTCATCATTGGTATAGTACCTATGTACGGGTGGATCTCCCGACCTTCGAACGGGATTTCATGAACCGATTTGATTATGTTCACCCTAAGCAGGCATTGTACATGATCAAGGACCGAGTGCAAAAACCGCTCGAATCCGTTGCGGAATATCGAAACCGGTTCTACAGGATGTTCGTAAAAACTGAGCGAGGTGAGCAAGTAGGGAGAGATCTGTTCATTGACGGACTCCGCAGTCGAACAATAAGGACTAAGTTGCAAAGCAGTTTTCCCCCATCACTCATACGCTACAACAAATTATGGCTGCCGCGGAAGAAATGGAACAGAAGTTCGCAGCGAACTTCCAGGAAGGAGAAGACTATCCTAGAGACGGAGATTTGACCGAGCTCGTACGAGCAAGAGCAGAACTAGCTGCTTTGCAGAACAAATTTGAAAACATGGGATTTGTATCAGGACCTGTCACTTATATGGAACAGATAGGCCCCAAACGAGTAATCCTAGGCGAGACTCCGAGCATCTCTGCTCCTATGATGCCCCCGCCCGTCAGGGCATTATCCCCGCCGCCGGTTGAGGCTCCTGTACGATCAAACGAATCGGCGGCCATTTTCGAACTAACCAAAACTTTGATAAATTTGATCCAAGAAAGCAAAAAGGAATAGCGAGAGCACAATGCTCGGCTGGAAGACATGATGAGGAACATGCCACCTATTGCAGTGCGTGCCCCTCCGATGAAACAAGGATTAGCCCCCGCCCCTGCTCTCGGAGGAGCGGTGAACAATCTGAATGTTTGCTACGCCAGTCATCAGCCCGGACATCTAGCCCGTGACTGCCCCCACCGACCCCCACAACAGTGGATCAGAGTCGCACCTATGGCAGCAGCCCCCATCCCCAATGGACCTGGACGAGTCGGAGCCTTGATGGGAGAAGTAGAAGGTGGGGAAAGTGCCTTGGCCACCACGGAAGAGGCCGCCAAGCTAATTCCGCTAGATCAGTATGTGTCGCTGGGATATCCTGGACTAGGAATGATCGGAACAATCAGACCAGCACCAGAACCGAAAGAAGT